TGTGTGTAAGTGGTTGAAGGGATAAAAAACGCGCACGCATGTAAGCGGGACATAAAACAGCGTGCAAGTAAGAAAACTCAAGATCACACCACGAAGAAAAACGATCAAACCATTTACATATCCGGTACATTTTTATTAAACATTAACTCCCCCATCATATAAGGTTAAGAATTTGTGAGATAGTTGATAATTTGACCCAGTCCTTCCCCTGTAATTGATTAACGGCGACGTCTTCGGCCGACACTCTGTTGGTTGATGTCCACAACTTGACCTTTTTCGTTAATCTCTTCCATTCCGCTTTTGTCTTGCTCAGAAACACACTTGAACTGTCGACAGCGACACGCTCTAATCTCGAAAAAGTTTGTCGATCGGACTTCATTGTTAGGGCAGTCCAGAGTCGCAGTCCAGAGTTTTCCTACTGAAGGCTGGCAACATGCGCAGAACGAATCCAAGCCGGTCTCACCATACGTTGAAGTGGACGTGGACTCGCACGTTCCGCGGCATGTGTTGTGCTGATACTTAATCCTGGACGTGCAGTTTTCCTTTGTCTTGATGTAATCAAATTTTCCCTTGTTTAGTAAACAATTGCCACTGCTAGGACCCGGTTCTATGAAAAATAGTAAGGACAAATTATTGTTAATTATTAATTGCAAGCTTAAACAAGTTTCACAGGTTGACTCAACAGAGAGCAATTCGACAGCGGCGCACAAGCACTGGCCGGATCCCCGTGTTGCGATTCTAAAATACTTAACTCTCACAATACCTTTGTTGAGCCAGAGATACAAAATGGTTTCGGCGGCCTGTCAGGGAATTATGACTAAATATGGGGGAGGGGGTTAACTGACACTCCGTTGAGGGAGGGGGAAAAGGAATACGGGCTACTCCTATACCAACTGAAACCGGAATTAGCTTGTGGGAGGGAAAAAAGGAATATTCGTGACCAGCTGAAACCGGAATTAGCTAGGGGGAAGTTGGGTCACTGGACTTCCAAGCTGAATTGTTCCCAATCTAATCTAATTACTGATACATCTGCTAACCGAATATCTCAATCGCGAAAATTAGCAATAAGTTACTTTGTGAAAATATTGCAATGTGTTGCACTGGAGTTTTCATATTTATCACAAATTAAAGAGGCGTCTCGTTTAGATCACTATTCTTTTAGCTTTGTATAACTTAAATTGTAGGCATCTAGGACCCACTGTTTACGAGAACCATTTACAATACTGATAACAATCACCTTTACATCCACTCACCAAAAATGAAAGATGAAATCGGAGTTGCGAGCAGGTGGTGTTTTGAAAGGATTGCCGAGTCAGTGTAGATATCTCAATCTCAAAGCAAATTAATTTGACTTCTTTGCTAAATTCTTTGGTTTTACAGAGCTTTCTAAGTCTGCTTCACCCAGTCCTTCTTTCTTTGTGCGTGAGTGTATGTGGTGTTTCTTTTTGGCCACACCAATCTCGACCTTTTCAGATTACCTTAGATATGCAAAGAAACTAAGGTCCCGAGTGGCGTATCGTAACATGCTCACTACTTCCGTAAGAGGTCGACTCAAACAAATTGCGAGAGGATAGATTAAGTGAGGTGATATACTTCCCTCTCGAGATGCATATCATAATGAGCCTGTACTTTTGGTATTTTCCGCTCTGATTTCCAGAGTCAACTTACCACATGGAGGACAACACTCTTTGTCATTGGCAGGAGGTCGAATAGATCCCTAAAAGAGAAGGAAATACCTAGCTCAGTAAAAACATTCAAAGCATGGCAATGATGAGGGTTAAGAATTGCGTTGAGATTGAAAATGGTAACCAACCGTTCTTATTTTTGTTGTTGTTCGTTTGTTTGTTTGTTTTTTGCGTTTCTTACCAGCCAAATATTGATGCAACAATTACATGAAATAAACTATATAAAAAATATCTAGGGGGCACCTTTCAAATCCCTCTGAAATCTTGAATTTTTTACGGCTTCTTTTCCTGCAGTTTTTAAAATTGAAGTTCACCAGCGTGGATCATTTTCTTTACTTGTAATATATTGGTGCCTAACCGTGAGCATGTCGATAAGGACTCCTGTCCTTGGTTTGGATAAAGGAAAGTTATCACTAGACAACAAAATAGATATACATATAGCCTGAGCTCAGATGCTCACCGTTGGACATTTGTCGCAAATTATATGCTCTGTTTTTATCTGTGCACTTTGGTTAAGAGGGTAGCATGGGTTAACAGTAAGTTCGCACTTAAGCTTCAGGCAGCTCCCGTCTGTCCAGGTAGTGTTGGGCTACAACAATACAAAAAATATCAACATTACGATGCCTTCGAAGAGAGCGACATATTTCAAAAATTATCTAGGAGAACAATAAATAAAGATCAGGAAAAGCAAGGGTATACTC